ACCAGGATGGTCTCAATCTGTTTCCTGAAGGTCAAAACCAGAGTTCTGAGCAAGAGCCTTGGGAATAATGAGCAATTCATCAGCAAATGCTTGGACACCAAGCTGTGCCCTGCCCTTTACGCTGGGCTTATATTTCATCAGGGCTTCTGCCATTGCCACTTCCACAGCACCAGCACCTGAAACCACACAGCCATCATCGATAGCATTTTTGACAGCCCTCAAGCCATCCCTTACTGCATTTTTTATCTGAGTGAGTGTGTGTGCTTATTTTGTCCTTTGATCAATAATGTGACAGAACGAGGGTTGTTATATTTCTCAATAAAGGTGAATTTCTCTTCTCCCAATGTATACTCATATATAAGGCCTGCATGTCCCAAGCAGTCAGAACTTAGGTCATCAAAATAATTCAGGGCTACCCCACCACAAGCAAGAATCAACCTCTCCATATTTCTCCTTTTAGCTCTGCACAGAGCTACTATGCCTTCTTTGGAAAGAGCATCGAAGGAAAAGGGGTCAATTCCCTTTTGATTAATAACAACAAATACTTTATCTGAATCACCACAGACTTTCCTTTTCAGTTCTATTATTTTTTAATTCTATCTTCAGTGAATTTTCTTTCAGCTTTTACAAGTTTTTCTCTCTCTTCTGCACTCTTGTAAAAAAAGCCAGAATTCACTTCTGTTTTTTCATATTCTAATGACATGCTACATGTGAGGATGTATGCATCTTCCACCCTTTTCCTCACATCAGGATGCCATGCTCCGTGGCCCAAAACAAGCTTTCTGATTAAGCTTGTATCAGTTTCAGATTTATGTTTCATCTCCATGATCTCAATCATGAAGAGATCAACAGGCTCATCTTGTTTTCTAATGGCCAAAATGGAGTCCACTACAGCCTCTGTTAAGACATCTGCAAGTTCAGCATGAACTTTAGTACGAAGAGATGTTCTGGCCACATCTATAAGTGTTTCTCTGTCCATCTCTTTGCTGACTTTGACTTCTTCCAAAAACTGAAGGACCTTTTCCTTTGCAGCTTCAAACCCTTCAGTAATTATTCTGGGATAAAGGCCTTCAGAAATGTAGATATCTGACTGTTTCAGCAGCTCTCCAACGATTAGGACATGGGAAGTCGTACCATCACCAGTTATATCATCCTGGGCTGTTGCTACCTTTGCTATTAAGGAAGCTGTTGGGTGCTGAATTTGC